ATTACGCTCTTCTAAGGGCTCTTAATTTCAAAGAAAATTGAGAATTGGTTTCTTTTACAAGGAAACGTTGGTTATTTCTGTGGTTTTATAGCACGAAATTTATTAAGCTCAGTCGGTGACTGACAGTTTTATTACTTCATGTCATCATAATTAAGGGAGCGATGAATGCGTGTAAAGCCTCAACAATTTGATGAACTAGAGCTAAAAAAACACTATATGTCTACCAGCAACTGTCGCTTCTCAATTTAATGCTGAACGTTGACTGCTGTTGCACCTGTTTTATTCACACTAACATCATTTCTTTCTGCCAAGTCATATATAGCAGTTATACTTATATGGAATATAGTTTAGTTCTGTAAATTTTACCTTATACTTTGTGTTAAGAATAGTTTCATTTTGTTGCTTCAAAGTGTCGCTTCGTACTACCAATTTTTTTTTGGCACTACTGAATCTACTGATCTAAGGAAACTTGACAGAACATTCTACAAGATCGCAAGACCAATCTTAGTGGTTCGTCTAGCAAATCTACCGATTAAAGACGAAGATATAAACTTAACGTTTTCTCTTTATTGTTGCCTGAGCCTATTCTAGAATTTATAGAACATCTCTTTTTTGCTTTAAGAGTCATTTAGAAACAAAAAATATTGTACAACTTCGCAAAAAATGTGTCTTTTACATAGCTCCGCAACCAAAAAGTTTTTCTGCTTTTTCATTTCATTTTATTTTGAAACTTATGGTAGTTTTATTATTTTTATCAAAAACTTTTTGAGGAATCCAATTATTACTCTTTTTTTCTCAGTTTCTTCTTAATTTTTTATCGCTTTATTCGTTTAGATGACCTAGAAGCTTGTCTCTTATTTGAGTAAGGCAACTGGAAGCATGCAAAGACCGGTATTTGCGAAGCAGTGTTTATGTCCTAAAAACTAACAGTTTATAATTGGTAGGTTTTTCAATGAAGTTTTGAAATAGTCGACATTGCTGTCAGATTTGTAGAAAATTTGCTTGACATTTGTTTTACAGCTGCTTAAAGTGTTTAACTAATCGCCAGTCAAAGTCGTTGTTGGAGTAGAAAAAAATGGCAGAAAAATCTGGAAAAATCTTAACTGTTTACCACTGCTAATTTAGACTGATGCAGTTTGAGATTGGATTCGCGCACTAATCGTCAAATAACAGCACTGCTGTATTGTTGCCTTCATTATAGTGGACTAAAAATGTGTGTACAGTTAGGAAGTAGAATTGTACCTATAGATTTTTGCACATTTAAAATCAGGGAAATTTTAGAGCTGCTGCATATTTGGAGAGAAATTTTTTCTGAAGCGACTTTAAGAAAAGAAACAAGCAATTTTTTTTTTT